TATATAGAGTCATCAATTAAACAAACTGAAATATACTCAATCAGTTAATTTTATCTTTTCGAAATATTTTCAGATGATTTTTGGCTTATGAAAACGTTACGGTTCTATTTTACATGAGCATCTACATACGTCGCCAAAGACACTGGCAAGTATGTTTAAGCTGGTGGCAAACGATGTAACATGTAAAACTGAGCGTATCTCAGCGATTGTAGACATGATAACCCGCTGTAATTGTGATTGATTATGAACAGCCAGTGTGTTCTATCTGACACCAGTGAGCTTAAGTGATCTGAGTATTTTCTGATGATTTTTGGCAATTTTTACGTAAAGTGTGCAGATGCATGCCACTGATTAGCAACTTGCCTCGTCAAAAAATTTACATAATGCTGTTAAAGTGTTTCATTTTTTTTTCAGAATACAACCGCCGTCAACGTTGCTATTGGGCTGCCGTTAAATCTTCTCTGTTTTGCAACGGATAAAAAAAATGTTTTGTGAAGTGGGAGGTATATGTGATTATTTACGAGCCCCAAAAAGATAAGCTGGCCCCGTATAACGTCCTCCAAAACAGAATGAAAGACCGTGCTGAAAGTTACGTTTTGCCGCGGACTCAGGAAGACTGTTCAGGGGAATAGATCTCATGAAATCTCTGTTGAATACTCGAATAACACGAGCCCATCTTCATTAAGTAAACCAAGCGAGAAACTGGCAAATCTCATTTTGAAATTCCCAGAAAAATGCCCATCATGCTTTTAGAGGTGTTGGCAAACGATTTTCCGAAAACTGTATCGTGCCGAAAGTCCATCAGAAGTTGTAATGTATAACTTCTGGTAAAACATTGGGAGGATACATTTTGCACAGGGAGTATTAGAGCAAGGGGCAGTATGCTGAGGGGAGCACAGTGGGAATAGTTCCCTGTCCGTGACTACGCCTCCAAGCACGATGGGGCATTTTGTCAAAAAGCTTAGATTATTATTAGCCTACTGGCTGCCAATAATGTTGAGGTGTTGCTGTGGTCTGCTAGTCCAGCTGATCTCAATATCATAGATCATGTCTAGAAAACCGCGTAGTCACGCGTCCGGAGAAAACAGAAAATAGTAAGTATTCCAGATATCCGTAAAAGGATCATTACTGTGTGGCGATACGGTCTAAGTACAGCGCAAAACTACATCACAGGTACGCCCTAAGGGCAGTTATTGCCGCAAGAGGCGGTGCCACAAAAAAGCACCCATGTTCGCACACGCTTATCGCTATAATACATTGTTAGCAGTTTGCAGTCTTCAATGATTTTGATGATTTATTTTGGATTCTTCTTTCATGTGCGCGGCATAGCAGCAAGCTCGTGCGTTTAAACGACCGAACCTCACTTGGGCGGATCATTAAGGTTAATATATTGAAACAAGCTCTCCAACGCTCAGGATGGAATCTTCGAAAACAACGATGGACAGAAAATATTCTATATAGGTTTGTGCAGTTTCCGGATACATTAACTAATTGTTCTTAATGCCAACCGTTATTACTCTATCAGTAAAGGTCTCATTTGTACTGAAAAGACTATTTTCAGGTTCAAATGCCGAGCATTTCAAGCGAGACAGCCATTTTGTCTTTGGCGTCAACGCTTAGTGGCAGTATCCAATCAGTTGACCTATTTACACCTTAAGCCGTGCTGCTACACAGACCAAGCCTACATGACCACCCACAATAATTATACAGGTTAGCTGTAGGACAATCGACTTATGTTCGTTCCTTTACTATGTATGTGACCTTCACGCAAATTATACCTCTGTAGAGTATTTCACAACGACTCATTATCAATCTCTGGTGATAATCTTTTTTAACCCACAACGGGTCGCAATTAACGACCCACAGACTATTTTTTTCATGCGCTAGCTAACAGTCAAAGTAAAAAAAAAAACCTACTATCAGTCCACACAGTTTTTTCCCGACCCAGTTCCAGGGCCAGTTCTATTATCTGTCTAGATACTTTTAACGTGCAACGTTTTTGGTAATAGCATGTTTAACGGATGGCCTTTTCTCTTCTGTAGCTAAAACCTTCGGATGCTTCCAGCAACTAACGGCGGTCAACAAGCGCAATATTTGGAGGGCAACAGTAAAGAGCAATAGTTGACGGGACCACATCGCGTATTCGATGCTGTCTTCGAGAAATAACGTAAGATCTTTTCTTGACTAGTAAGCTAACGACTAGCATGAGTCGGTCGAGGTTTCGGAACAGCAGAGCCTCCCGTACGCTTACCAGTTCACTATGCGCTACGGAACATGGCGAGAATAAGAATATATTGGCTCTATGCTTTACGGCGAAAGGAGCACAGGACGGCGTTGGTTTCGAAGAGAATTAACGCTGGGTCAGTGCATCTAAGATCTCATCAATAGCATCATGGCCTTTACGAGTGGATAGATCCAGTCGTGTCAACCTTGCAACTCTGTCGTTGCCTAACAACATCGAAAGATGGCGAAGCATTAAATAACTACGAAAAACAATACTCATCGGCCTGTGATATATATTTTAGGTGTATAAGACGTTATAGTTCTCATTAGTGTACCTGTTAACACTCTTTCCCTTTAGGGGAAAGATCCTTACCTGTTAACATCGTTTAGGGATGTTGACGTATTATACTAGATCAATTACACATATATTAAAATAATACGTGCAGTAAGTCATGCAGAAAAATGATGTACGTATTAAGTGGATAAACGGTACCAGTCATAGCGATTTGCGACAACGATAATATCCTGGGTGTGCCGCTTACATAATCTATGCAAGTTTGAAGTTCCTGCGAGACGTCCCTTCGAATGTAAAGCGTTCCGCTGAGTCTAAGCGGATCAGAACTCTGTGCTGTAAAATGCAATTTTAGAAAATACATGCCGTTGAATCTTATGCTGAGTCCTTTCGAGTAATTTAATAGATACCAGTGTAACCTAAAAGTGTGTGATTAGAATATAGGCAGATATACCTACCCTTGCATTGAGGTAAAACTTCTATAACGACACACAATAATGTGTTAGACGTTCAACACCCTCACTAGGTAATTGTGTATGAATTTGACGAAAAGCAAAACTACGAACAGATAGATGGTACTCGCCTAGACGCTTTCTGATCCGTTTTCAGATCACGTCGCCTTTCTACCGTATCCATTGTCTACAAACTGCAAGTTGAAAACTTCACTACAAACATGCTCCCTAGAAACGGCAACTATCATTTTGGCTGTTCGCATAAACCGCATGGCAACTTTTGAATCAATCTGTATAATTATGCCAATTGTACGATGTGCTGGATTTTACTTACGTTGTATCGTGAGTAAGATCTTCTGTACGGAACGGAAGGCGGGGTTCGTATGTGCGTACAATATATTCTCTCGGTTGGCTAGTCGTTTATTTGCCGGACACTAAAAGTGCCCTAGTTCGGCAATGCCAATGGTGCTCGCATCGTGCTGTTGTTACCCCGAGGTGCTTCGTTGTAGCCAATGTAACCGAATATAGTATTCAGGCCCTTTTCTTTCCGTTTAACGCAACACAGGACAGCTCTCGTATTCCAGTACGAGCCGGGCAACGGAATCGGCATGTTTAGCTGGCTTGATTTCATAATGCTCTGTTCTGGCAAGAATACGATATTCCACTCTCTGTGGTGTATTTGTACACCTAATGACAGCATAAATGATGACGCCAGACCTTGTAGAATACCGTTAACACTGCATTCCAGATTGCCCATTTTGTCGTTTCTCCTCTCAATGATTTCATTTGACTCAACGGTTTCGATTGAGCGGACAGTCTTTACAACTCATAGCGTTTGTTATAAATGTCGTCCACCAGTTGGCTTTTTCTCTTCCAAGCTTTTCTTCTTAGTACCGACCGACTGCTGAATAGATCTATGAATGTTATGAACACATTATAAAAGCTAGTACGTGTTACGATTTATCGCGCGATGCAGTGAGCGGCTAAGTTGAAAACCCTGTAATTTTTGAATAAACAAAAAAACCTATTCCTCTCCTCTACACTTCCTTTTCCCCGACCCCGTTTAAATTTTTCACGGGCCTCTTTACTTTAACTGTATTTACTATACAGCGAAGTTTTATTGTGCCTGCTGGGCTTGCGGATCATGCTTTCGCAAACATGGTCCCAATGCATCTGTTGTATCTATGCGTCGTTCGTATTTTATTTATGGCAGTCCCTCTCGCCAAGAGCTCTTTACGCAAGTACCCGCATAGGTTCACTGGGGTCTGCAAAGTTCCCGGTAAAATGGCTTACTTTCCTTTACTTTTCTCCTCTGGCCGTCAGCGAACGACAGTACTAATAGCCTAAGACACGCGGATAAGCCGACGGGACGTTGCACCGACGCAAGCCAAATGTGACTACATGCATTGGATAAGTAGCCACATGTCGCATTGGTAAGTGACAAAGTGACGAGATAGGTCGAGGGACGAACAGAGGCTTATGTGCCTGCCAGCAGCTATCAAGCCAGCGCAGACGTGAGCATTTGTCACCGCGTAGAAAAACGGCGGGGGTGAAAATCTGAAAGTTGAAAGCGACGATTTTATTTGGAGTCTGCTCCGGGGTTTACGGAGAGGCATATAAGTAGAATTTGGCAGAGCGATATACGTTGCAAACACGGGCGATGCAGTCAACGTAGGTACGACATAAATATCCATAGTAGATCGCACTTAGGACCAGAGCAAAGTACGTTATTTGAACCAGCCAGGTTAATACCAGAAACGGGAATGCCAATGCAGCCAGAGGAAGCGAGCAAAAAGAAAAGTGGTACTGCGGGAATCACTTTCCAATGTGAAAAGTAGGTTCGCGGCTGTACACGTACTCGGCTACCAGCTCAATCATCGTAGAGGATCATACTCCTACGCCAAGTTATAGGACACTACGACAACCAGCCATCGTGCTGTCACACGTCACGACCAACGATGGCGTTAGGGTAGGTTATGATGAGGATTTCGTCGTTCCCGCCCACAGCAACTACGAACCTTTTACTTTGCTGTTCTTCATCTGGATAGTGATCTGTGTGCCAATAATTCTTCGTCTTGAATGTCAGTTGTGGTACTGATGATGACAGCGTAGTAGCTGTCGTAAAGACCATGATAGCGTACGTGCGGCCGCAACTATAGTCGCTATAGTTGAAAGATAGAGCTTACATGGCACAGGCTGTATGTACGGAGACCTTCCGCCTGGAAAGTGGCATTGCTGGCTAACAACAACAACAACGTTGGTCAACGAAGACATCTACAGATGGAGTGGAACCGTGGCATCTGAGAGGAATGAAAAAGAAGTAGCTAGAAGGACTCGGACAACGACAGGATGAGACTGAAATGCTGGCACATAACGGGCTATACACAGCGACACTCTATGCTGGCCGAATGCATCAGGCCGAAACAACGGCGGAAGAAGCAGGCCGAAGTTAACAATGGAAAAGGTAAATCGGAACATTTCGCCGACGCCACACAACAACTTAGATGACAGTGATAGCGATGATGATTATGGCCGCGATGAAAAGGGAAAACAAGGAAAGCTGAAATGCAACAGACAGCGGCTAGCCGAGAAAATAGAATAACGCACGCTTGACATTGTGCTGAGTTTGCCTTCGCCGACGGTTGTCTACCTCTGCCCGCTGGTCCGTTTGGCTGTTCAACGTCAGAGATGAAATTTCCTTCTCGCGCACCTCTGGCGGAGTATCCAGCAGCGAAAATAATCGTTGGTTGACTGTGAACGAGCGAACATTGGGGGTACTGGGTAGACTAGGGCCAAGTCAAATTCGAGATACGCATATTGCTCACTTACTTGTCTGCTCGCTACGACATCCAACTTCTATATAAATTCTTCGCAGACACTATGCAAAGGATTGACAAAAAAACATATATTACTATACAGTTTGTCAGGGTTAGGGGAACGATAGTGTTTCGAGGGAGGAACGAGAAAAGCGACTGTGGATACTTGCAGTAAATGGAGAAAGCAGTCTAGAACAGGATTAGGATTAGAATATAGGCGTGCACGACGTGCAAGCAAAGAATTCAGTTTATAACCCAATTATTCGTTGTACAGTCCGAGTTGAACGTATAATACTAGACCATTTATTATGAAACGTGACATAGTGAATTCTAATTTTTTCGAGTTTTTTTTCACAGGCCCAGTTCTTCTGTGATCAATCGATGTATGCGCCACCATTATTATCAATTACATTTCATGATCTGGATGATAGTTCGTGTATTTCACTACTGTCGAAGTATGTCGTACGGGAAGTCTCGGAAAACAATTTCGATATTATATTGAAATCTTCCTATTAAAACATGGTGAATATTTGAAGGGAAGGGATAGTCTGTATGAGCAATGTCTGGCGAGTACGGTGAACGACAGGGAGCCTCTTGTTGTAACTTCTGCATTTTAGCTACTACGATTCTTGCAGTGTGGGGTAGGGTCTTGTCGTGCAGTAGAAATTGTTTGCCTTTGTTTTTTTATTCTTGGCTACAAAATATGAAGTTTTTTTATTTTTTCTTTTATTATAGCCTCTAGTCGTTATGAGTGCGTTTTCATCGTAGTCAATGAACCAAAACTCATGATGCCCTAATGGACAACACCTATATTGGACCACCAAGCAGGCACCATCCATTGTTGTAGCCCTATATTTGCTTTAAGGTAATGTCCCGCTAGTTCGGTTGCACCTACTCAACAATGTGATTGTTTGTAATTATTATAGGCAACCCATTTTTCACTACAAGTCAAAATTCGGGCAAGAACGGGTCGCTATTGCAACGCGAAAGTAAAAAGAAGCAACCGTCTGTACCTTTCGTAATCACTGAATCTTTTTTCCTTTCTTTTTCAATTTGACCGACGTACGCAAAAGTGGCCTATTTCCCTCACAAGAAGTCTTCCGCAAGGACCTTTTCCGGATCCAAAGCTATCTTTCCGGTTTTTTTTTTCCAAACCAATAACTCACCGTATCTCTACTAATAGAACCTTCACCGAATACGAGGTTTTTACCGCGAGCAGTCTACGCACCAGCAGTACTGAAATGGAGCTCACATTCTTAAACAACCTGACTTTTTTTTTATTTTCCACGGCTCACTACAATTTGCGTGCTGAAAGTCCAGATGCAAATGAAAAGACCAAAAAATTGGTTACGTATTTTTAAAAATGGGGCGGACGCGCTAAGGGAAGACTTTTAACAGGTGCATAACTGGGAGTATGTACGTCAAAATTAATTTTGAAGAAGTCTGACCTGCCGCCTTTTTTTTTTTTTTTTTTTAAGCTTCGCCTTAGAGTAATTTAGAATCGACGAAGAACAGGGTAGTTACAACCGGGGACTATTGCTTGTAACGACCTTTTAGACTCCTACATGCACAGCTGACGAAGTAAAGTTTAGCTACTCAAGAGTGACACGTGATACAAAATAACGATATTTAACTATTTAATTATGTCAATACATTAGCTTATCAGCTGTTCTATTTCTTTTAGACATTGCCAATTTTTATAGCGTATATTTTTTTGTTAGGCACTTTACGGTGCTAGTCTGCAACTGCGTGATATGTTATTAAATCCTAATCAAATTAAATAACGAGCACCTGTAACTGATAGGACAAATTTTCATTGATGGCTCTCTCAAAGAAATCCCTGCTCTTCCCAAAGTAGACTGACTCACAACAGAGCTAGAGATGATAGCAAGAGTCCAACGAGCAAGCGGATACGAAATATTTTTTCAACAAAAACTACAATACAATTTTAATTATTGTGTAGAATTGTGTAGAAATTTTTATCTCCCCCTGTATAAGCGTTGATCCTTTTTGAGGCATTTATTGGTGAACCCTTCAGGGCCGATCAGTGTTGACTGAAGTCAGAGGGCTCCAATGCTACGCTAAATAGCACGGTGGAGAAAGAGGACCTTATTGGGAGAGATTCGATGCTAGCCATGGTCGACAGGTTAGCCCCTCATCCGCTCATTGACAAACGATAATTGTTTTACGGTCTGGTATGCTAGCTAAGACAGTCATCTTCCAAGGGCCCGATACCGATTTCATCTTCGATTCCGGCAACGTTCTGGCTCCGGTTTGCCCCACCATTCCGATAATCTAATAACAGAAACCGTTAATAGACAATGCGATATTTACGAACAAAACGTTAAAGAATTAAGGTGGCTGTAAGTTGCGGCCACTATCGTAGCCGCTACTCTCGCTTTCTCCGTTTGATAGCCAGGCTACAGTTAAACTCATTTCAAGCATGTTGCTGCCATTCTGTTGTGCCACCGTTTTCGATAAAAAAAAAAGCTGCGTTGAAATTAGAGTTTGGAGTTGGTGTGTAGCTTTCGACGCCGGCTACGGTTTGCTGCCCTGATCCGTTTCTAACCCTCTGAACTGTTTGTGGCCAGGTTGCTCTACGTTTCACCCCTAAACTTTCACTTGAACCTTAGCTTCGTTAGATAAGGTTCCATTATCTGATTCGGCAATCGTTGCCGATGCCAGCCGATCTGCGAGCTAAGCCTTTTATTCTTCATATATATGCGTAAACATAAAATGCGGAATCGGCGATATCGTTATCCATATGATGCCGGTCTCAGTCACGTGAACATGGACAGCAGTGGTCGGCAGAACATTCGTCGGCACAGTCTTTCTTCTGACTTGCTGTTGGCTATTCTAGTTAAGGACAACAGGGTAGCGTATATGTCGGATGCGCATGCGTTTGTTTGTGGAAGAGGATACTGGAAAATTACTGGCACATCAACAACTTGCTAGGTTAATAATACTCAAAAGGGTGTTGCTAGATGAAAATTCTGATTTTCAAATCGAACCATATTGAATCGGTATCCCGAACAGCCATTTGATTTTGCCTAAGATGATTTATCAAGACCTGTGTTTCTTCAGACGCGTCGGGCCCGTCAGGTGAACACGTTTTACTCCAGCGAATGTATAAAGTTGTACAAAAATGAAGTAATTGTGTGTGTCAAAGAGAATCAAACAATTAGACAAGAACGAAAGACATCATTTGAATTTAGATAAAAGTAAAAAAGAATATAGATAAAACATAAAGACGTACGTACTCCAGATTGAACAGCGATTTGTATCGATTGATTAACTAGAATACTCGTGAACAGTTCATGATTAAATGTATGTAACTAGATAAGTTCTACGGATCTGCTCACTATATACCTGTTTGTTTTCATCGCGAGAACTATTTTATATATTTATAAATACATGGCAGATAGTTTAGATGGTTGTTGTTTCCCGAACCACATCTCTCCAGGCGATCCCAGGATCCCGTTAATGTAATGAGCAGGTGTCACTCTAATCCGTGATACTACAGACGAGCATAATACAACAGTGAGGCTTTTTGTGGATTTTCGCAGTATCTGAATTCTATGATTGTCCATTTATTTCTCTGTCCACTGTGAATTGGCGTAGCTAGTTCATTTGCGCCAGTGAGATGGACCGCAACGCTATAGCTCATGGCTCAGAAATACAGCGAATTGTTCCGCCTCTATTTTTCAATCTAGCTGTTAAGTTACCGACTTAATGGTCGTAGTCATATTTATGCCAACTATAGTTTACTTATTATATGTGAAAGTTTTGTGGCATCCAAGATGCTACCATTAGTTGCGTTTCCAACAGAGGCCCTGTAGTAACAAAGATACCTCAGTGTGTCACAGTCTATATCTGTATATGTCAGAAGTGCTTACACCTTAACGTTAGTGCTATTTCTCGTAAAAGGTGCCTTCTTCGCTATTCTGCTATCGGTAATCGATAGAAATAATCTTTTTTTGCAACGCAAATTCAAGAAATATTCGAATGCTGATATGGGTCCAAGTTCCATATATTGAGTGGAGAAAAACATTTAGCGAGTACGAATAATAAGTAAATGAAGAAGTAGGCTTAAACGAAGCTTTACAAAGGTTGATGTCTGACAATGACGTGGCAAATTGTGACGTGTAGTAACTGGAGCGCTAAACACCACGTATATTTACAAAGCAAAGTCTCTTAGATGAAGTGTACTTACTCCACGCATTCGAAGCTAACTAAAAAGTAATCATCTCAAACTTCCGCTCCTGCTCATAGAGCATAATACAACAGTAACGGAAGAAGGCTACGGTGTGACCTTTCATCCGCGAAATTGTTTATTATGTTTACAGCATTTCAATGTTGAATTCGCTTTTTACATACTCTGGTCTTGCTGTTTTCATAGGCAGCAACTGCAATCAACTTAAAATGCCCCTTAATCGGGTGCATACGACGAACGGCATCGTGATTCGTAAAGCGACCCTTTTATAGTTAGTACTCAGCAGCTAACACAGTACACTCGTCTGCTCGAAGCTTCGTGCAGCTCTCTTGATAAACCCTTTACAACAGGTCGCGCGTCGTTTGGTCGATTCTTAAAGCGGGCCGTTGCCTATTAGCGGATTACGGATACGAAAAACTCGTGCTGTTATGTTTGTTTGACACGTAAAAGAACGGATCCAAATTTATATTAACATAATACAGACATTTGTTTCGTTGCGTTAATTTCAGATTGAATTGACGCTCTATATTGTGCCTATGTAATGGGGTAATGCAACATTTGGTTCGTGGTCTTTCTAACGCTTAGCTAAGTACCGAACGAGAAGGAGATCTAGCCGCCGTCGTCGTCGTCGTCGTCGTCGTCGTCATCTTCACCGGCTTTGTAGAGGCAAAGTCGCCCCGCGAAGCTATGCATGGTCTTGTGAGTCTTTTTGTCAAAACTTTGGCTCAGCAAGCTCGGCGAGAGGAAAGAAAATCGGAAGGTACAAGATTACTGATAGAAGCGAACAACCGGTAAAGTGGCAAAAACCCAGATCTGCAATAGACATAGAAAACGAAAAGAGAGAAAGAATCTTCTGAAGGAAAACCATGCAAAAGACACATAGCTCTTGTAACGGGAGGATCTAACGGAAAAAATCACATCTGAATATACATCAAGACGGATGTGTTCCAGTAAATGTACTTTGTGCACCCTTTAATTAGCCTATATACGAAGTGATGTTCATCCTTACGCCCTATTATCTATTATAATAATTAGCATAGAATACAATAACTAACTATCGGCACCTGTCAAATTGTGTTAGTCATGAAAGACCAACATTTTGAAGCAATTCGCTTTATTATTTCTACCCTGCCCAAACCCAACATTTCTATTTGTCATCCGAGGGTCAGTGATTGCGCGTTCTATTAAGTTAATTGTGACCCTTCTATCTACGCTACTATATCCGGCCGAGAAAGAACACACAAGTTTGTTTTAATACATTTGGCTTTAGTAGCAAATTAAAAGCTGACCAGCTATATATCCACAACACAACCCCTTACTCCTGCGTATTTCTCCTCAGTTTGGGGACCTGGGACGGATATTAAGCAAAGTCTACCGCCGACCTAATTCGTGTTGTCGATAGGCTCGAGATTCAAAGTGGAAGGAGAGGAAGCCAACTGTAGAACAATAGTAGACCTCACAGCCTCTGAGGCCTATTCCATTTCCACAGTTTCCTACGACCGGCTTCTTTCTCTGGCCGACTTATAGCAAGACAGCATACATACGATAGAGAGTATATCTACAACCGAATTTTCGGTTCATTAACCCGTTCATTCAATATTGAGACGCCGTTAGATTGTCGAATAACGGTGCGAGAATTGATAATGCCAGTCGTGGAAACGTGGCTGGCCGTCAACTTTAGTGCTGACTTGTACAGGACAACAAACAGGGGTCGACATCTGCAATGGAGTGTGCTGTGCGGGAGTCGAACGCAGAGATGCGTAAATGGACGGTAAAAAAAAAAAGTAAAATACAACCAAGTTTAGCCTAGGCTAGTGAGCCATGAACGTATCGTCTGTCCATATTTATCCGCTATCGCGTACAGTGAAAGAAAGAAAAAAGGCAGCATTTGATTATTGATAACCACTACAGCGGCGCCCCCTGCATGTTGTTTTCCGGTTAGATAATAATCTATGACCCACTACATGCACAAGTAATTATTAAAGATAACCTAATGTTCAAGCCATGCATATGTCCTTGATTCTAACTAACCCCCCACCAACTTTAACTGGGTTATTCCGTTATCAAGAACAACGTCAGTTTAATTTAGACCTTGACGCGTAGAAAATTAATTGCATAGCTGATGAAACTTTTCCTGACCGTTGCTCTAGGGGCAATTTCGATTTCTCTTGTATAAAATAAATGACTGTTTATGCTTCACAAACGGGTCGTTTCACAAACTATTTCAGCATAGACGGGAGAAACGTCTCACCCGCTCTCAAACGTTACGCAACAAGCCAAACTTTTCGGCTTTCGCTATTATATTAAGATTGAGTATGAGCTCTTAAACCATTAATGGGATCGCCTGACCAAGATCAAACTTCGTTGGAAAAAATACGTCGTTAGAAACCGCTATCAGTATTCATCCGTACAGCTCCAACGACCTATGTACGGTAGCCCACATGTTCTTCACTGAACATGGAGCCTGCTTCAGTAACAGCTATAGTTACGTTAATATTCCAAATGTTACTTTTACTACAGGTTCAACTGATACAGTAACCTCATAACACGAACCTAAATACATCAAATGACGCTTCCTTTCGGCAGAACACTGAAGACCTTATCCTTCTACACACTTTCTATAACAGAGATTTACGAACCCTGGCTAACAAAAAGTAATTAGCTTATGTAAAAATAACATTGCTATGAATTGTTCACGCGCTAAAACATTGACTGCATGATATTATCAGCGATATGCGCATCGTTTGTAGGGAATGGCTGTAGTTTTCAACATCTCTCGCAACAGTGACCGTCTCCTTCAGGTATATGCGTGACTGGAATCCTGCCCGGTTTATAATATTTCAATAAACTGGAACAGATTGAGGGGTTTGCTTAACCTTAGCAGTGTGTGCGTTAGCTATTGTAAGTTGACGTTTTATTCGCTATAACTCCCTGTCAAACTCTCGGTTTTCTCATTCGAATTATATAAACGCCCCACCATTCTTCAACGCGACGTCACATGAGCGTAAATAATGTAGGCTAGACTGGAGTCAGTCTCCTGCCTGGCTTTAAGGCCCGTTTGTGTGTATGTGCATGAGTGCTATACACGTATACAAAAGAAAATGTATCATTTCACCGCTATGCCGCAAAAAACCCACGAGCTTACTTGTCGGCCACCGCATGAATTTCCATATTGGTAGCAATTACAGTTTTTGAGATCTTAATATTACTTTCGCTGATAGTGTCAGTTACTTTTAGCGTAAAGCCCCGCCCATTGACATATCGATGTTTAGCGCACTTATATTTACAACGTTTATTTGCTCGTAGTGACGCAAGCTCATGGTAGAATTTTCACATGTCATTGGTGATACCCAACGAGACTGTGCGATACGGTCTTGTCGCCTAGGCCAATTTCAGTTCATTTCAGCGATTGTAACTAAGTCCGTTCCTACCGAGACCTTCACGGATAGCAACACCAAAACATACGAATACAAAACCATACAAAGAAGGACCACTCCCCCCACCACCCACATCCACACACACACACATACATACATAGACATGTGTACGTAGTCTGCACATTCAGGCAAGTGATGCTTGCAAGACGGGACGCATGTCTATGTATGTTCTAATACAAAACCATACAAAGAAGGACCACTCCCCCCACCACCCACATCCACACACACACACATACATACATAGACATGTGTACGTAGTCTGCACATTCAGGCAAGTGATGCTTGCAAGACGGGACGCATGCTGAGTGACCCCGAGAGGACTTTGGTCATCTGACAGTGGGCTGCCAAGACCATCCGGCCTCGATCACTGCCTGGATACCGATAGGGCGGCAAAAAAAAATAATGTAGAGCATCGTAACCGTAAAGTAGGACGCCAAAATGTAGGGAACGAAAGGTGGAGTGTGTTCATGGAACCAACAACGAAAAACTGGATAAAAGAACTATGGGAAAAACATACTTCGGCAAGTATGTAAAAATCCGGGGAGAAACCTAAGAAAAAAATAACCAACCATTTTCGAATGAAAAACCTCTAAATGTTAGATACTTATCAGCATATAAAAACACGTGTGTTGATTCCTGCAGTAGAATAACAATACTTACATGAGCTAATATGCGACACTACTATGTATCGATAAAAAGATCCGATTAGACATTAAAGCTTTCACAAAACCTAATGAAGACTCTTAAATGGATGAAGTATATCTTCTCGTTTTTTTCGGGTGCGTAACTACATACCCTTTTCAGAGCATATATAACGTTTTGCAGGGCACAAACGCAATCTACGTAGTTAATGTTCTGATGGGTCCGAGCACCAAGACAATCATATCTGCGCTTAAATCTAGGTCAATAATAATGTAACAGCCTATTGATTTGTCCAATGGTATCTAGAAATCCTTGAAATATACCCTTTTTCGGTACGGCAGTTTCTACGGTACTGGCTTCAAATAAAATCAGCTGGTTGGAACCTCAAAAATGAAGTGTCCGATAAGCGTTTTTATGACTCCTTACTAATTGAATGAAAATTATATCACCAACGCGATACGCAAGCGATTTAATGTAAAATGTATGTAGAATTCGTCTAGTATATGTAGCATGTGGGAACAAGAATATGGACACGAAAAGCAGCCTGAAGAGAACTTGTGGTTGTCTGTTTCCTAAGACAACTCGCCATTCTAGAAAAAAAATAACAGAAGCGAAGAGCTTATCGTTTTAAGAAACCCATTCTAGTAAAGGTTAAAATTTATATCTTGCGTAGTGCAGTGTTCTGCCTGTAGTTTATAAAGACTGAGCAGGCGGCCCACCATGAGAGGCAGGCTGAAACTTGGTGGGAATGGGAATTAACAAAAAGCAGTGTAGGTGTGTTCTGTTACAAAAAAGGACACGCTTGGTTTGCGTTCGAATTCGGGTCTACCCAGTTTAACGTAAGGGCAGAGCACAGCGGAATTGGGCATTGAAAGAACGAGTGAAAGAAACTGCCCGGGAGCAGTGCACAGGGTGATTGGCTGTTTGGTCTATATGTTGTCTCGTCGTGCCGAGCTAATTCGGAATAGCAAGTAAAACTGGTCACAAGCGAAAACCAACAAATCCAAGACAGACACGTGTCCGTGAACACGAAAGGGTTTTGGTAAACGATGTGATGCTAAATGCGACTGTCGGGCAACTCGTTTCGTGTATGACAAAAAGTGCTATATCGCTAAAGGTTTATCGGTAAGAAAAAAATAGCTAGCTGTTAGCAAGAGGGATATTATCGCGGTACAGGGAGTGTGAATTGCGCTGCGGTCATCGCTTATGCCTGTGCAGCTTTGGAACTTTACTAAGAACTTACGACGTTTTCCTATTCTAAACGAGAGAAGTACGGCGGAAAACATTGGGCCTTCGAAAAGCAAAAAAAGAAAACAAGGTCGACGTTTTCTTTTCACTTCTACATATCTAGCCACGTAAAATCTGTATCAGGTCGCTAACATTAAGCAATAAACGGACTTGGGCAAGCTGAATGCCATAGTTTTGTTGGTCGATCTTTCGAAAAAAACATTATTATTTATGCTTTAATATATGCAAAGTCTACCAATGAAGAAGACATTTTATTTGCTAAGAAAGCCTAATTGCTTTAACCGTGCATGAGTTCAGTTACGCTATATTACAATGTTGTCAAAAAAGCTCTTCGAACACTGGAGGAGGCCTTATGCCAAAGGATCCTCCCTGGTACTTACACCCGCGTGTTAGTTATTCCTGCCTATTGAGAGAAAACAACTACGATAGCAAAGGTAATATTAGCGTAACATTTGCACTTACTCTACACTTATAGTCATCCTCGCA